ATTGTATTGCGCCTTATTTAGCCTGTGTCTTTAATAAATGTGTTGATGATGGTGTCTTTCCTGACCTCATGAAGCAAAGTAAAGTTATTCCACTTTTCAAATCTGGTAGTATTTCTGACCCCACCAATTTCAGACCTATATCAATACTACCAACTCTCAGTAAAATATTTGAAAAAATTATTCTAAATCAAATGTGTGCACATTTTTATAGTAATAACTTAATGTCTCCTAAACAATTTGGTTTCACTCGGGGTCGCTCTACAACCGATGCTGGTGTCGAGTTGATTAATCATATATTTGATGCATGGGAAGTCTCACATGACGCTATTGGTGTATTCTGTGACCTTTCCAAAGCTTTTGATTGTGTGCACCATGATACACTGGTCAGGAAACTTCGCCATTATTGTGTGGCGGGACGTGAGCTCGACCTTCTAAAATCGTGTTTGCGTGGTAGGGTACAGAGGGTCTGGAGGGAGAGTCCCCACATAACCCCTGAGTCTCCCTGGGCTCAGGGGTATCCATAAAGATTTCCCCCCAGTCAAAAAAAAAAAAGGGGTACAGAGGGTCGATGTTAACGGTACGAGATCGTCAGGATCTGCAATTAGCATGGGTATCCCTCAAGGTTCAAATCTAGGCCCATTTTTATTTTTAGTTTATATTAATGACTTACCTAGCCTTATGGAGGGTATAAAACATGAGCTAGTATTGTTTGCTGATGATACATCCTTATTATTTAAAGTTAAAAGGCACCAATGTTCCTACGACGATGTGAACAATGCTATATCTAAAGTAGTTCATTGGTTTGCTGTTAATAACCTACTTCTTAATGAGAAAAAAACAAATTGTGTGAAATTTACATTACCCAATGTTAGAGAGACGGTTACAAACATTGTAGTTAGAAACGAAAAATTGAATCTTGTGGAAACAGTTGTATTTCTAGGTATAACGTTAGATGCTAAATTGCAATGGGGTCCCCATATAAGTAAGTTATCAAAACGGCTCGGCTCTGCAGTGTACGCGATTAAAAAAATAAGGAAACTTTCAGACGTCGAAACCGCTAGATTGGTTTACTTCAGCTACTTTCACAGTCTAATGACATACGGCATTTTGCTTTGGGGTAATGCCGCCGATATCAATAGAATCTTTGTCCTGCAGAAACGTGCAGTTACGGCAATTTACAATCTGGGCCCCAAAGTATCTCTGAGAGATAAGTTTAAGGAAATTAACATTCTTACACTAGCCTCACAGTACATTTATGAAAATGTAATTTATGTTAAAAGGAATAGTAATTTATTTATGAAAAATAGTGACAGACATAACATTAATACGAGGAATAGAATTAAACTAGCTTTTCTTGATAGTCGTCTTCACAAAGTCAAAAAATCATTTAAGGGGCAATGTATACGCTTCTATAACAAGATTCCGGTTGATATACAAAATTTGCCTTTCACGAGGTTTAAAACTAAAGTGAAACAAAAACTTTATACTAAAGGTTATTATACAACTTCTGCGTACTTGTATGACAAAAATCCGTGGTAGTAACCCGTTTAGCTCATGGAGGTAGTCTCGATCTCTGATGTTTCAAATAAAAAAAAAATATTGTAAATGTTATTTACAAAGAGCAACCCCTAGAGTTTCTTGCTCATTCTTCTCAGGGGAATCTGCCTTACGAATGAGCGGTAGAGTTTAACTATTGTGACGATTTCAAGTGTAATAATGCTTACCTATGAAATAAAGATTATTTTAAATTTTGAATTTGAATTTGAATTAGTAGTTCCAACATATAATGCAAGTATTTGTTGTTGTTTAATTACACTAAGAATGAATATAGTTCATACAAGTTTTATATTTTGTAAGCCATTAAACTTTAAATCTATTAGTATTAAGAGAATTGCGTCTTACGTTTGTAACGCTTTAGTTACTTTTGTTTTAAAATAGCATTACTAAGAAAACTATCATGGACTATAAATTATCTAAAAACTGTCTACAAGACCTGTCCTGTCTGTGACTAAATACAAAGGGTCTTGTAGCATTCTAGAAGGGTTAATTGAGAAAAAAAAATAAGAATCACTCTTAACACTACCTGCAGATAATTTCTCAAAGCACTCTTGTGATCTACTAATAAAGTTGTGCCCACTTTTACTTTAAATTATCTAGAAACCTTCTTCAAGATATCTTGCGGGAATTTGAACTCTTAAAATGTACAATCGAATTAAATTGTATTAGATACCTTATAGTATATATTTATATATAGATGTGCTGCTTGGGATCATTTAAAGTAATCACAGAATTTTAATGGCTTCAACTACACTTACAACCCAAGTAGAGAGGCAAACCTACACCTCTGCCAAGACTGAAAATTATGAACAATGGTTTATATTTATTTACAATATTAAGGACTTGTGCGATCTTATCATTGGCCGTTAATCCAAACCAACATTCTTCACTCTTTTTGGAGGACCAAAGGAGCCTATCAAAGTAAATGTATGCAGCGTCGCTGCTATTAAACCTGTTGCTATAAAGACATAGAGATATAGTGACGATGATAAGAAATTCAACGAAGAGAAGAGAAAACTTTTGGCCGAAGATATAATCGAAGAGCTTAAGTCACAAAGAAGTTATCACAAAGAATGCTAAACACAAAAAGCAACTTGCCATTCATTATTCTCAAACTGCAAACAAATATTATATTGCGTACGCTCTACCAAACATGGAGGAGCTGGTGTCCCAAATATTGAAATATCGCTTATTTAGCGCAATAGATTTGCAAAGCGCTTATCATCAAGTCCCTATTTTGCCTGAAGAACTTTATGTTACGGCTTTCGAAACGCTGGGAAATCTCTACCAATTCCAACGCATTCTATTTGGTGTTACAAACGGCGTCTCACTCTCAAGTTTGCAAAGTACTATTGATGGAGTAATTCGAAAGGAACTCTCGTAGGAACTTACGCTTATCTCGATGATGTTACAGTTTCTGGTAAACCTGAATAGGAACATGGTGAAAATCTTAAAAGATTCATGGCGGCTGCTCAGAAATATGGCTTAACACTTAACAAAGTAAAGAGTAAGTTCTCACAAAACTACACACAATAAAAAAAAACAAAACAAAACATTCTGGGATACAACTTAAAAACGTAATCAAACCACATCGACATCATAACTTAGGTTATGATGTCGATGTCAAACCATTACTAAGCTTACCGCCACCTTCTGATCTGTCATCACTAAAAAGAGTGATATAGGAATGTTCGTACACTACAGCAGGTGGATTCCGAATTTTTCAGAAAGATTTCATGATCAAACTTTCTCATGCAAAGACATTTCCATTAATCATAATCTAGTCAAAAGCTTCTCAGAACTTAAATCGTACAAGGTCAAGTCAGCTATTCATGCTATTGACCATAACGCTATATTTACTGTGGAAACAGATGCGTCAAATGATTCTATCGCAACAACTTTGTCTCAAGCTTCTCGGCCAGTGGCTTTCTTTCCCAGAATGCTAAACAAAAGTGAACATAATGACTCGGTTATTGAAAAAGAAGCTTACGCTACTTACGCTATCGTGGAATCGCTAAAGAAATGGTGGCATTATCTTATTGACAAACCATTTCGACTTATGACAGTCATCACGGACCAAAAATCTGTATCTTTCATGTTTGACAACAAACAAACAAGCAAAGTCAAGAACGAAAAAATAGAACACTGGCGTCTGGAACTAGGTTAGAGGATGGAAAAAAAAATAATATTGCTGACGCACTGTCAAGAGTATGCGGCTCAGTATCGACGAGAACTGAAAACTATACTCATTGCACGAACACCTGTCATCCTGGTATAACTCGAATGACTCATTGGATTAAATCTACTTTATTCTTCTGAAGAAATAAAAAATATGGCTAATTTCCGTCGAATTTGCTCCGAAATAAAGCCAATCGATCCAGTTTTGATAAGATCGCCAACGGAGAGATTGTGTATTGACCAGTACCTTCTCATTCAAGGAATAAGTACATTCTTACAGTGATACACATATACCCTCGTTCGATGTGAGTTCCACGACAGTAATTAAACATTTAAATTACATTTTTATGCTATTTGGTATGCCATCTTATCTTTATTCAGACGGAGGAACCTGTTTTATATCATCGTATGGAGTATCTATACCCACTTGGCTAACACAATCCGAACGAGTGTTAATGCGAAAATTTAATCGTACCAATAGGTAAATATCAACCATTGTAGAGGAGGTAACTTTACTCTGCTCAGCCATACCATTCTTGACGAAACCTTAAATAGTCAGCACCCTTACGAAACCTCACGCAGATACCGAACCAGAGGTTCGAAAATCGACAAGATGTCGTCCCCCGGTTCGCTGCGCGATTATTTCTTAGACCGTAGAATGTGGTGATCGGAACTCTTTAGGGTTTTTTCTGATCTTCTATTTCGTCATAATGTGATGTTGCTAAGATAGTGTTATTTTTCATTTTGTGAAATATGTCTTGTGGAACAAAATCGTATTTGGCAAAGGTTTTATCTAATTTATCACTCTGTATTACAGCCGCGTTGTTATCTACATCTTTTTTGCCACATAGAATCATATTTATGGTTTTACAATAAGTAAACATAGAAAACGCTCGGAATTACTTTAGTCTTTTATCAGAGTACCTATCTGTCTCCATAACCAGAACAAATACTCGACGCAAACAGGAAGCGCAAGGGCTCAACTCTAGCCTTATTCAGAGTGGCTCAAGGCGGTGGGCGTCTGTTTGCGAGTTCGACGTGTGGTTCTACCCGCTCGTAGCCGCTTCGGCACTGTGAAAGGGTACTTTTTCAATTTGGCATCATTTTAGGACTTTTTATTGAATTGCACGGTAAAATGTTTTTAGATTGTACACCCTGACTATAGTTTAAAGGACAAAGCAAAGAACATAACCACTTGAAAGTTATTGAAGTGTAGCACTTATTTATTATACAATCATTATCACAATAACAACACAGCCATAATAAAATTATAAAACAAAACAACATAATATTATAGCACATTAAATACATGCATACCTTTACATTAACTTTAGGAAGATATATTATAGCTTTGGTAGATTACCATTGTAACAGACTTTATAAGTAAAAGCTGTAACGTTACTTTTCAGTCCCGCATTCATGGTTGAAGCAGAATATCTAAATTAATAAGTACCTACTTCAAGTCTTCACAAAATGGCGAAAGCCTATTAAAAGCTATATTGTCAGTCTTTGCATTATAAAGCTATAAAAGACATAACCATGGGCTGTGGAATATGCAAGAAAGCATGAAAAATTGACCTTCGTACATACATTAAACGTAGAAATACCTTGTATATACATAGTTATTGCCAATATTTTGGCATAACATTACTACAATAATATATTTACTATAATACATTGTATTAGACACCAATCGACACCATTAATGGAGATTGATTTAGTCAATGTATCGTGGTCAAGAACGTTCTAATTGTTATCTTCCGAGGTCTTGATAGGTTTATAGACACGTCCAGAATTCAGGAAACGTTCCTCGTCTTTCTCCAGCATGATTTGCTTGTGTCTGCTGTGCACGACTATTATGCAGTACACCGATATACCTGGAATCATACATGATGAAAATAATAAATATGATAAGGTTTTTTTGAGAAGACAGAACACTTTCTCTGAAAAATAAACACTTTTTCTCTTACTTAGTATTTTTCATTATGGTAGAATTGTGTAACTTAGAAGAATAATAAATGTCAAATTTGTTTTTAGCATTTTTTTGTATCTGAGAGTGGCACTTTCAAGAATGGAGTTACCAAAAACCATGAACCTACATCACACTCCTGGGCACATATCTTAGAGGATGGAAAAAAAATCCATAATCTAAGGCACTTAGACAATTTATGATTTATAGATTTTAAGACTTTCGTGGTTATTCACTAAATGATTATCACTAGTATCGGGTTTCTTACCACTGTGTGAAAAAAGTGAGTGACAATGGTAACGCCACAACAAATCGCGATGAAGGTAGGCGTCGACAGCGCAAGAGGGTAGACAGATATGTCTGCTCATAAAGCTGTCATCTGCCGCCGTCCAGTCAACCCGTGACCATGGAGCGTGCAACCGTTCCGAAATATCGGGAAAATAAAAAGAAGTCATACCGTGGTAAGAAACCCGATACCTACTATGATAATCATTTAACGTGATAAACGTGATAATCATTTAATTTATGATTTTTTCGTCCTAATCCATGCGGGACTTCTAATCAATCTCTCTAAAGAGATTTTATTAACCCCTTATACATGCAGATTTCCTCACGGTATTTATAATTATATATATACTTACCTACATATATTTCTAAATATATAAGATATAGGTATTACTATTATAAACTGAAAATGAATCGGAAAAGAAAAAAGATTTTAAATACTGACATGCCCTGGCGAAATGCACGGCGATGACAGCGGTCTCTATCTCTAGCAACTCGCCGGTGTCTTGTAGGATGAGGCTCAAGCCTGTGAGGCTGATCATAAACACGAGCGCTGTAAGGATGCCCGTCAAAATAGTCCACGGGAGGGTCAGGTACGACAGTTTCTGAAAGGTTTCGACATTCTCTATTCACTAGAACGTTTTCGAAAAATTAAAAAAAAGATGCATGTGTTAACAAAATTAGATACATTTAAAAAAGTAACAAGCAGTAAAGTTTGGAACATGTTAAGTATCGCGGAGGAATTATTTACATAATTATTGAGTGGCTGTGTATTCATCTAAACAACGATATCTTAGTACTTGCGTACTTACAACAAATTGTTCCATATTTCTATTGCATATACATTGTAGTAGCCTCCTTACCTACTTGGTAGGATTAGAAATACCTTGCTTTGTTAAAATGATTATACACATTTACATACAAAAGCACACATTTTATTACCTTATATGCGGCAACGACCAGCAGAACAGAAAACAGAAATTGAATTCCGTTAACAACGGCCGCTACGATGTACAGCACGTATTTGTGAATTGACACTACACCATTTTCACTTAATGGTGCTAGTGTCACCAGCAACGAGTACGCTGCTAACTCTAGCAAGGCCCAAAACTGAAAGAAAATGTTGGATACTGGTCACATTGTTCATACATTAATACGCAAAGCAAATAATTCCAATTTTGTTTTTGCTCAGAAATAAAGTAAGGCGCCTAAATTTTTAAAACTATTATTAATGTTTACATAAAATTATTTCTGATTATTTTACTCGTACAAGGTTCAACCTAGCACTGATAGATTGTTGTATTCAATAAAAATAATTTCCCAACAAGACGTTGTAATACGACAGTAACAATTTCACAAAACCTTATAATGATCAGCGACCTTGAGACAAAAAATTATAACTAGGTACATAACATCACTACTCACTGAATAAAAATAGCCAATGATAAGTGTACCAATGTGTAGACTACCACAATAACAACACGTCTTCACCATTGGCACGCCCATTCTCACTCGAAATGCACTAGTCTCTAACCTATTTCATGTGAAAACTGTGCTCAATAAATAAAATCTATTTCGATGGATGACGCCTGTCGCGTGTGCGCAGTATCGACGGTGTATTATCACTGGTGGTAATGATTTTGCTGAGATAACAGTTAGGAAACTTTCGATGTTTTGTTTTGCGATTCCTTATCTTAGCTAAATTTGATACGGGAAATTCATGGAACGCACTGAACATTTTGATGATACATTACCTTAGACATAAGAAAACTATTCAGTTGCATACATAATAAATATCGCTAGAAGTTAGAAATAAGGCCTTATTATTAATTTTAATAAGAGAGAGAGGTTTAAAGATTCTACGAATGAAATTAGTCGGTAACTTTTTTGCTTAAAAAGGACTATTTTAAAATTTCACGTGTATTTGTGATACAGTACAAATTATGTATTTGTTACAAGTAAGTAGTAGTTCGTGTGTGTCTTTATTACAAGGGCACAAACTCTTGGGCATCATTCATAGAAATAAAAAAAAAATAATAACTATTTTTTTTATGTATAACATAACATGAATAACATGAAGTGACAAGATGAACAAGTCCTGCGCCTAATGGTAAGCTACACGCCTGTCCATAACAGTTACAGTGCCACTCAAAGCTTTAAATTGCAAAGATCTGAGGGGCACCGCCACTGCGCCCGTCACCCTGAGACATAAGTTGACAAGTCCCATGTGCCTGTAATTTCACCAGCATGCTTACTTACCCTTCAAAACCGGAACACAGTAATGCTGACATTACTGCTTAGCGGCAGAAATACGCACACTATTACTAACTAGTTTTTAATGTAGTTTACGTAACGATTAAAACAAAATTAGTATAAATAGATGGAACTGGTTTAATGAAAATATTTTTATCGACATATGAGTAGGAAGTTTTTATCATTCTTGACATATTCTTTACTTTGTAAAATTCTAGTTAAAAT